AGGCCAGGGACAACCGGGAAGAGGGTCGTACCGGCTGGTGACGTGTTGGTGGACGAGGAAGACATACCAGCTGAGGGAAATCAAGAAGCGATGGAAGATACAAAACTAGACAGACCGAAGGACCCGGAAGCAACCACAGTGAAGGTTTTTTCGTGGACGACCGAGGCGCATTTTCGCCGCCACGTCGAGTGGCGCTGTGTGGTGGCTGCAGTTCTTCCTGTTCTAAAGTCCCTTCCTCTTCAGTTGAAGAACATCTAGACAAGACGACGTCGATAGTGGTACTTGAAAGAGCACTTTACGGTGTCCGGTGGTAAGTCACCATATACGTTCTCCGGCCATCCCTCGGAATGACGGGATCGCGGTTGCCAGTATCACACGCTCTAGGTTTCCAACACGCGAGACCTTCTGGATGGGCTGGGCGCGGGTCCGGCTGCTTTGGTCGTCCCAGGAGTGACGGACGACAAGTGCGGCTGTGGCTATAACTGTACCGGAGCGGTCAACGATGCCGCCCCGACGGTACTTCGACGATGTCAGGGTGCATAATGCCGACTCGTAATGGCGGCGGTGGAAACTGCTAAGCACAACGGGTGAGCCGTGAGATCTGAGCTTGAAACATGGACGTCAGCATCGCCGGACTCATGTAAACAGATAACGTTTCAGGGTACGGCGATGCGCGACTCCAGAACGAAGACGCGGTCGAGTCGGAAAGTCAGGGTGAAAATCACTGACAGTATGACCTCGGTGCGGTCCGCCGATTCTCTACTTTATTCGCCCTGTGGCAATCCTGCTGGTAGAATCACGTCTCCGGTCGCCACCGATCTCGTAGCACCTTTGCTGCCTTTGCTCGCTCCACAGATAATATATATTTTTGTTTAGAGAGCCTTTATAATAATTTTTTTTATTACAAAGGCTATCTATCTATATCTATATCTATATCTGTAGCTCGCTCAGTGTTTTTAGTCACCATCAACGTCGTCACATCAGTCGTCTTCAGAATCTAGCCGCTCGCCGTCTCGTCGCTCCCAAAGCCTTCGCGGTTGGGCCTCACATGGTCGTCACCCGCGAGCAAACGACTTTGGATCGCCATTTACATCGATTTGTATTACATTTTTTCAAACAGTTACACATTTATATTAACCCTTGTCCGCCTGTCAAAGAGAGTTTTAAATAATATTGTTATGTTTTTTTAAGGTATAACGAGTATGGAGTAATGTGAAAAATATCACACAATCGGTTAAGAATATCGGACTTTTACCAACAGTGATTAGTGATTGTTTATCCAAAGATGTACCAAAATATCTCGTTCATAAAATTCGGAGCTACAAAAATAAATTACCAAACCGTTTTGTGTATCCTTTAAATTTCACCCGGTTTTCGTACTTTTACCGTAACGGCGTAACATTTAGGTAGGTATACTTCATGTGTATAACTACAATACTTACTACGATTGATAATAATCAATGTTAGTACGTATTAGCAATATTATGATTTTTTTTTTCAAAACGTATATTACTATAGTATTACCTTCACTGGTTACAAAAGGTTTGACAGCTCAACGCGGGATTAACATTTGAACAATATAATATTATATCAATGTAATAATGCAATATATATCAATATCTTAGTAGTATAATATTTGTTTATCCTAAGATTTACCAAAATAATATCTCGTTTGTATAAAAGTTTGAACTATAAAAATCAATGGTGGGGGTTTGACCAAACCATTTTTTGTATTTTTGTGATTTCATCCGGTATTTGTACTTTTTCAGTAACTTATACAATATAAAGTGCATAATAACTATAATAATTATTAAGTACAGCCTATAAGCAATATTATGATTTTTAAAACATGTACATAGAATGGGATGTGGGAGATCTGACAGCTCAACAGGGGGATAATATTTGAAAAATATAATATGTCAGATATCTTCGTAATACAATTGTTTATCCTAACATTTACCAAAATATCTCGTTTTTATAAAAGAACGAACTACAAAAATTTAGTAGTTTGACCAAATTGTTGTGTGCTTTTGTTTTGTGTTTTCAGCTCAACATGAGAATAACATTTAAACAATATAATACGTCAGATATCTTCGTGATCCAACTTCCTGTACGGATGGCTGTATAATATAAATATAATATATATATATATATATAATATATATTGTATAAATCGTCCGATACAACGCGTAATGTTTATGTTGTGCAGTTTGGCGTTTGCCAATTACAAAATAACATAATATATACAAACGCAGTGTTAGGCATCATATAAAGGCGGCCATGTGGCAAAAGTCGCGTAAATTATGTATGCATATTTTATATATATATATATATATATTATGCTTACATAATATAAATTATCTCAATCGGCAGTATCGATTTATAGCATTTTATTGCCATATTATTATTATTGTTATTATACGAATATGTAAAAGGGAAAACGTATACACATTATGTAAATATTGCACTGGGCCGTGGATGGCGAAAAATAATAAATTTTAACAGTTTATTGATCCCGACTTTAAAATGTAAATATATATATATATATACACACACACACACACACACATACTGTTTTGCAAGCCAATACCATTAGCGTTAATATTAAATTGTTATGACGTGTATCACCATAAAGTTGGGTCGTCTACGAAAATAGCGAGTTATACATATTGCCACGTACTTATGAGCGCCAGACAAAAATGCAGATCAATTATTAAGCATATGCTTGTTTAATTAAATTTTGAAAATAAATATTAATTTGCTGGTCGAAAGTCTGCTGCACGCGTGCTCTGCGAGATCAACAATATGCACGCCGTACGATATTCACGTAATTTGAACAATAATTACCAAAATATGAATACGTATTAATCACTGCAATATATAATATGTACGATGTACCAAAACTTCGTTTTAAGAAAATTAATTAGTTTATTGCACGAGATTGAAGGTTTATATTTATAAGTTATAACCATAATATAATATATATCGATTAAATAAACTGAAAGCATGATCATATAATATAATACAGTATTAAAGTGTGAAAACCATACAACATATTATGCAGTATTTTTAAAATATAAGTTGCTTCCATTCATTCAAAATTCAACCGATATAAAAATAGTTTCTTTCTCCATATTATACTAAGAAATAAACTCTAAAAATAGCTCATTTCGAATTTTTTAAAATTTTTTTTTTTAATCAACAAAAAAAGATTATTAGCATTTTAAAATTTTTTTTCTAGATGTTTAAGGAGAGGTTATTAGTCATACACATATATATTTTTTTTTTATTAGAAAATTAATAATCAATACTCCGTGAGCATAATAAGAAAATATATAGGTACATTTTATTTACACGATGAAGAATGGTATGCGAAGAGAAGTCACTCAGTGATGGAACCCATCGTGATTTATCGTAAGTCATAATATATTATTATATAAAATAAAACTGCACTAGAATATCTGCATTATATTTTGAATTAATTAACATCTGTACTGTATAAATCAATCCGGTAGGCATCATATGTTAATTGGTAGTTAACTATACAGGCACACGTAAAATATGAAGTATAAATGTTGATATTATTCATCAAAGCGTCATGTTTTTTAAACATGGAAAAACTCACTGTACCTTCGGGTAATAAAACAATTATTATATGATAGTTAAAATCAATTTTAAGTAAACATTTTTAAATGTGTTAAAAAATTATCGAATAACATGTAATTATTTTAAATACGTTATCTTGTAAAAATAATAGAATGCAGATAATAATGGTGTAAGTATAGAATATTAGATATAATATGAACTAATCATTAATTTAATATTTTGCACGCTATTGAAAAAAATGTTTTAAGGTGCAGTATAGTCAGTATAGGTAGGTGCGTAATCTTTAATATATTAGATTGTAATAATATTTCGTTATTTATTATATGTGTTGAATAAAAACATAATTATAACCATAATCGTAAATTAATTTAGACTATAAACAAAATACAATTTAACGAACTGGATTTGATGCAATTTGTTATAAAAAGTTATACTGAAAATTGAAGTTATAAATATTTAGGACAAAATTATATTTAATTAGTTATTACTAATATTGTTCGAATGCCAACTGAAAGCCTGAAAATATATATTAGGTACTTATTTTCTCTATAAGAATACTCCTCTATATTATGTTTTTCTAAATATATTATGAATAATGTGTATTTTTTTTAACAAACTTATTGTTTCACAGTTAACGAAATACTATAGTTTTTATACTACAGCATTGATTAATATATACTAATAATATAGTCTATACTATAATCTGTGATTATTTAGGTACTATACCTATAAGATAAGTTAACTTATCAATAAAACGTAAGTTGGTAACACCTATTGTGAAATATGTCTTGTGTAAATTAAGTCAGTACGTCCTATTTTCAGGTCATTAGACTCCAATTATAGTTTTTGTGTAACGGGTGTCCTGTATCAATATATAGTTACCCTTTGTTTCATTTCATATGATTTAGTAAACATAAGCTACTAAAATAGTAACTAATTTAGTAATACAATATCTAATATAAAGCACAAAAGTATAGCACTAAATATTAGCATTTGAGTTTATCATAACTCATAAGCCTCGGTACCTAATCCTTATAAGTTATAATAGTACTTACTTGGTAGTCGTTACAGGTATTAGTCACTATTAGGCAGTGTCGGCCTGGCACCTAAAGGGCCCCGGATGCATTTCTTCAGAAGGGCCCCCAAAAATGTTTTTTCATAAAATTATTAAAAATGTACTTATAAGTAGGTAGTGTAAAATATTATAATTTTTTAAAGGTACCATATATAAAATTAACCATCCATTAAGTTAAGATTTAAGTTAGATTAATAATTTATTATTCTAAACAATTTTTTACATATTACATAATATAAATAATACCTTCTCACATTATACAACTTAATATTTTTTTAATGTGATTCAAATTCAAAATTAATTGTGCATTTGGTTTTCTTTATATCAGTAATTTTTTTAGTTCACTAGATGAGTTAGCAATCGTATCAATCAACTCATCTGAGTCAATCAAAATATCCTTTTCATTGGACATTAGCATTAATGGATTAAGATGTTCTTGGGGTAAAGAAGACCGAAGTTTAGTTTTGATTATTTTCAGCTTTGAAAATACTCTTTCACAGGTAGTCTGTGTTGATGGTAATAGCAACACAAATTTATATAATGTGAACAAATTACAAAATAAATTAGATTGACATGACAGCTCTTGGAGCAAAATCAATACAAAGTGAAGACATTTAGACTTTAGTGCATTTGTCACAATTAATTTGTTCGGTGGGTTTAACTTCAATAACTTCATCTTCATCAATATATATAATTTTAGAAGATTTAGATTTAATATCGTGAAAATCATTTTCAGATACATCTGGTATGAAATTACTATACTGACAAGCAAACTGTTTTAGCTCAATTGCAATGATCTCTTTGTCTAAATCTGCTAGTTTAGGTACATATTGTGTTCAACGAGTCCTTGGCAAATTGTTCAAGTTCATTAATAAAAGCAAATGTTTTAGGATCCAGCCAATTTAAATCTTTTAATAACATTTCATTAGGTACAAATCGTGATTTTATGCTATTGAATAGTATCTATAATAGAATAAGCATTTGACTTAAATTTTGTGTAAGGTGTTATAATTCTAACTTCATCTGAACACTTATTTATATTTCTGAGTACGGTCGGGGGCGGGGGCCCCCGAACTCAAATACGGCCGAGGGCCCCGGACGCGTTTGCGGCCTAGCGGCCATGGCCAGGCCGACACTGCTATTAGGTGTAATGTGAATATATATGTGCTCAATTTAGAAAAATTTTAAGTATTTCTGAATAAACAGCTATTATTATGACGTGCACAGCTGTAGTTTCTACTTAGGCTGTTTCATAAACAAAAACAAAATGAATTCATATTACAAGAATTGTATGCATTTTGAGTTATGTAAATATTGTAATCATCGTTGTAAATTCGTTTTTTGCTAGTTAAAACACGTAGACATGTTATAGTTTATAGTTTATACCTTCAAACTATGAAGTATATACGAACTTTCTGAGAAAAAAAGAATTCACAGATAAGTTCGAGTTACAATAAAAACACCTACCTTTATGTGAATATCTATTAACGACCTTGCAAACGAATTATTGAGAAAAATACCATATGAAATCTAGACAGTGTTTGAAAATTGTTAAAATAAATAAAAATAAATTCCAAAACTTATAATCTAGGACTTGGGCTCCAAATATTTAAGAGATCTGGAGATGTGTGCAACTGGAAACTGTGGCTCTGTATTTTGAGTTCCAATAAAATATCTAAAAAATTGTTTTTTTAAATATCCAATTTTGTCAAGGTAAAATGCTTAAAAAAAATGGAAGCCTATGATGTATTTTTGATATTTTTTAACTGTTTAAAAACCTACTCATGAAGAACAATATTAAGTTAAATATGTTCAAGTTTTTTTTTATATCCATATAAATTGGAAAAAACGAAAATAAGTTGAACATTCAAAATGTTATATATCTATATAGTATATACATATAGGAGATATACTTAAATTTTATATTTCCTCATAAGTTGTTAGGATAATAATATAAATTAAAAAATATTAAAGATACATATAGGCACAATTTTATTTTATAAGCATTTCCATTTCAAGTTTTGATAACTGTTTAAAAAAGACAAACATATATGCATATCTAATCAAAAATTTAAATAACATATAAACACATTTTTTTTCAAAATTATATTTTAACCACACAATGAAATTTTTAAATGCAATGTTATAGGGTGAAAATTAGTTCAACTTAATGTATTACTTATGTCTATTAGTAAAATAAATTAATTTAATAGCAATAATGTCGTAAAATATAGATAGCCCTTAGTATATAGGCTGACAGATCGTCTTCAGTCTTTCACACAGGATCGTTTTTCGTAGGTGTACACGATTTATCATTGAATATTCCTATTTAACAGGTCCATTACAGTGACCCACTAATAAAATATCTACATTTTCAAGAGAATTTAGAACGATAGTGATAGAGAGTAGCATGGCGAAGTGAAATATTTTATAGGGGAATTTATTTTTCGTATTGCCCACCACCCCTCGACTACTCATCACAATACTTATTAATTGAAGTCATAATTATTCTTATCAAATGTCATATTCAGATGAATTTAGTCGTGAACTACAATTTCTCGATAAATCCAGTACTCATCTTGTACCCAGTACTCCACCCACCCCTTTAAAATTATCTGGCAAGTGCTCTTAAAAATCGAGGATCAACACTCTGTACTTGTGTGTATCATAAACACCTCTCAATAACACCATTGTGATATGTGCAGTACCTATATAACTGTATAAGCACTGAATAGGTTAATAACATGGGTGAAATAAAAAACTGTGTTTAATGATGATATACATACTTACCTTTAGTTATAAATTATACGTCGTTGCTGATGTGTGTGCCGTCGCTCCGTGATAGAATAAAATTCAACATTTCAATCACTCAGTGGCATATTTTTGGGGGGGCCGTATAATTCCGGAAAGTTATATTACCGACCGTAGAATTCCGGAATTAAAATGTATTTGTACAGACCGTAAAAATCCGGAAAAAATAAATAGCTCACCGTAAAGCCACAGACCGTTTTTTTCCGGAAAATAAAATACGTAAACCGTATTTCTACCGACCGTAGATGTCCAGAATGTAAATATTCCGACCGTATTCTTGCAGAAAAAATAATACGCGGACCGTATAGTCCCAGAACGTATAATTCCGGAATTTGAAAATTTGAAAACCGTATTTTCACCGACTGTAAAAACCCGGAAATTCACAAACCGTTTAGTTCTAGACCGTATTTCGCTAGAAAAATATTGTGTACTATGCGATTACGGAATTTTGTTTTTGTGAACTGTATATAGTCCTGTATAATCCGACACCAGTGTCGTTAATTTTAAGAAAATAACCGAAACCTAATTCAGGTATGCTAAACTTATGGGATACCCTATATAGTTAAACCAACTCTATGGAAACACATTATCAGCCTCCCCCCCCCCACCAAACAAAAATCCTGGCCATGCCATTATCCCAGAACATATACAATTTTGGAATTTAAAAATTTTAATATTGTATTTCTTAAGACAACACAATTTGATGATCTGTATCTCACTAACGTACTAACGAAAAACGTTTATGTGGAAATTCATTAAAAATAATAATACAAATAATGAAAACTTTAGCATAGGTTGTTATTTGAAAATTAAAGGTTGAAAATGGTTTAACTTTAACTACCTAATAAATATAAGGTTGGAAAGTTTTAGAAAACATGTATCTTATTTTATTTTTTTTTTGAAGCCAATACTTATTAATAAAATAGGTAGGTACTATATATTATGAAGGGAATATGGGAGTTGTAGCTCGGTCCTCTGTAGCTCTAATTGTAGATAAAATGAGGGAAATAGGACGAGATAGTCTGTTGTGTTGATATATGACTAGGAAAAAGTGAGAGTGCCAGAGTGGCTATGGTAATATCCAAATATATGTAGAAGAAAAGAGAGGGATAGGAAGGTCGTATAAGGGATGGACAAACAGAATAGAGAATAACACTGGTCTGAGCAAAAGAGAGGTGGGTGACAGTTGACAGAGCCCCATTATAGAGGTGTAGGAGAAGGATGGCTCAGGTACCCATAGTTGAGAAAAGGGCAAAGAAGATTAAATGGATGTGTTAAATTGTAATTCAATGACAAATCAAATAAATAATGATTCTAAATACTATATACAATATAGTTATAGGTAATTATCAAGTCCTATCTATTATATAATAATAGTCAGACTGAATAATGTTTGTACTTTACCTATTGCAATTGTATACAATGTACACTTGCACATGTATTTATATTTAAATTATTATATTTATTTAATTATTTTATATTTATTTGTGAATTAATAATTTATCCAAAGCAGTAAAGCATAATATTATGCAAAAAATAGTTTTTATGCACCTACTATTAATTTTACATAATCATATTTTTCTTTTATACTATTATTTATTTCAATAGGTAGGGACTTTTATATGATAAGGAATTAAGAATATAATATTATTAAGTGTTAATAATAGGGATTAACAAAATTAGGTACTGAAAATGGAATTAACTAGAAAATAACATTACCTATACTAATCAGAAAGTTCAGAAGTTTTTCTTTATAGAATGACATTGCCATATACCTAATTTATAAATAAATCAAATATTATATTGCTATGCATTTTATTTATATTATGATTTAAAATAACTGAGAATATAGGTACCTCTACATACTTTTGAGTTTTATTTACCAATTATCTCAAGGCATACACATAATTATAACTGTAATCGGCTAGCATTACTCTATAGTCTATAGCCTGTATTCTATATTAACGTTAAAAGATGTAAGAAACAGATTTATATGTAATTGTAACAAAAAAATATATGGAAATATTATAATAAAAATAAAATATATGATTAGGTCTTATCTCCTAATGTCCAATAATATAGGTACCTAGGTCATCATATTGTATGTATATAATAATAAAAAAGCTAGTAAGATAATGGTGGTGGGTATAAATCACCAAATAGGTTCCTTAGATGGACCATTTATACAACTGGCTCATTTGGTGAACAAATTGTTTGGTACAGTGCAATGGTATTATTATTGATTTTAAATATACCTACCTACATGAAATTTGTATTTTGTAATACCTATTACATAATACTAAAATAGCATGTGCTATCACATATATTTAATTTATTTATGTTTCTTATTCTAATAAAAATAAAGAAATTTACATAATATAAATTTGTTCATTACTGATAAGGGATAGGTACTTATTTAGAATACTAGAAAACCAATATTTCTAGAAAAAAACCAAAAAATCAATCGAAAAATGTACCTAATGGTTTTTTCAGTTTAAATCTCTACCAGTTTAGCAGATAGTAGAGCATATTTGAATAGGTTATTAAAATAAGTAAAAGCAAAGTAAGAAAATGTATCAAAAGTTTAAACTACAGAAATCTCAAATAAATGAGATGTATATTTTATTTTGTCTACATGATCAGTACTACTACTTTTTAAATTGTTATTCTTTCCTATTACCATCACTGTCAATAATCAAAAACCAGTTCTGTACATGAGATATCATTTTAACATTTAGTATATATTGATATATTATTTATTGAGTCATAAGCAGGGGTGGAGTGGCCGGTCTGGAAATGGGAATTTTCCAGATGGCCTGGTGGCCTGGCCATTTTGTTAGATTTTTTTTTTAATTTAATTTAATT